AAACTGTTTTGATTATCAACGCCATTGTCACATCTCCAGCAGCCGACGAGCAGGAGGAGCAGGAGGAGCTCCAACAATGGCTGAAATCCAATTATGACATAAAAATTTGCGTAAATTGTGAAATGTAAATTTTTGTCAACACTTTCAACTATAAAAAGGGTTTACGAGATAAGCAAGACGAAATTATTATTTGACACACGTAAATTTTGTGGCTTGATGATAATCAAATTTGTGCCTCTGTATGTGTGTGTGTGTGTGTGTGAGGGTGCGAGTGTGTGCGTGCATCCGCCATTGACTTTTATTGCTGCGGTAATTGCTAAATGGAGCTTGAATTGGGTCCTGTGCCCCGTCAACTGTGGCCAGTCCATATAACAGAAGTTGTCTGCTGTCCTGGGTTAATCAATGCGCACAGTGAGTGGGCGGCTGGGCGGCTGGGCGGCAGTTCGTTTGTGGTTTTGATGGCACTTTAAATGCCCCACTGGGTGGCTGTCTCGCTCTCGCACACACCCTGTCTCCTACTATCTCTGTCAGGGCGGCAAGTAATTGGCTTATAATAAATATGAAATTGTGACAGCAGCAGCAAGACCCAAGCGACAACGACATTTATGAGGATTCAGGCAACAGATAGGGCCACGGTCAACAACTGTCGTGCATAACTGTACCATAGTAGCTAACTAACTAAACTAAACTATCGGTGTGGGGGCTGGCAGCTCGACGACAGCTCATCTATTTCAATTAAGCCCTGACTGCGGGTCAGTCTGATGGGGGCGCAGCTGCCTGCGCTCGCAGTTGACCCGCATGCTGACCCAGAATGCAGCCGAACCGACAGCCAGGCAGCGTAACTGGGTCACTCTAGTCACACAATTGATGAGGAGCACGAGGAGCACACATTGCTAGTTGCTGAATTTTTGTTGTCGCTGCACATGATGATGATATGGCACAAGGCTTCGCGGCTGCCTGCGACCTTGCCACAGACTGTACCAAAAAAGTCAGCACCAAGGCCTAGCTCAACTGGGCGAGTGCGCATACATATTGCAGTAACTGTACGTGAAGTAAGATATGTTTACTTATCAAAGAGAGCAGCAACAGAGCAGCAGCGGCAGCAGCAGAAGGTCTTTCCGCTTTTCGCTCAGTGTATGCTATCGCAAAAGTAAACCAGGTCAAGCGTCAAGCGAAACTGTATATCTGTATATAGGGGGCATATATATGTATATATAAATATATAAAGATGTCTATGTACAGTGCTTCATAAGCGTATGTGCTCTTCAAATACCACCACTCATACATGTATGTATGTATGTGTGCTGCTGCATTTCAGCCCTGTCAATTTTAAAGCATACTTTTTGGGGCAATCGAAAATTTGGTAAGCCGGAACTAGATAAAGCGCTTTAAGCTTTAAAGACGCTATGCTTAACCCTTAAATGTGGCTAACAACTCTTCGCAAATTGTCCAACAAAATGTGAAAAGTCTGCTCTGTACCCCCACCCCGGCCCTTGGGACAAATTTCAATTTAGCTCCGATGAGGAAGGCAACACATAAACTGACAGCAAAGCCACTTGATGTACGAGTCGCCACAGAGCTGGGGGACAGGCGACACGTGTCGAGACGCAACCTAACGTCCAAATGGCCAAATAATAATTCCCAAACTGCAAAAAAAAGAAGCTTGACGCCAAAAAGAGAGAAAACTAAACGGAACTGAAAACCTGCCACAATAACAAACTGTCAGCCACAAGAGAGAGAGCGAGAGAGAGAGAGAGAGAGAGAGGAGAGAGAGAGAGAGAGAGATAAAAATCATTTACCTTGCTACGTGGAAACGGAATGGAATATTTGGGGACAAAAAAAAAAAAAAAGAAAGATGATCAAGTTTTGGGCATTTATAGATGAACTCGATAGGTACGCCGAGGCAAATATTGGCAGAGCTCGATGCCGGCTCGATGATGGCTGCCATTTTGCGGGGATTACGAGCGGGCGCCAAAAGCGGTTTATAACACACCCACTGGACCTACAAAGGCAGCTCGCAGCGACTTTAAAATTGCACCTGTGCGTAGGTGTGCGAGTGTGTGTGTCTGTGTGTGTGTATTTGAAATGCTGTTTGATGTGCGGCCAAGGCAGCAGCCTCTGTAAGCCGCTTATGGCCAGCAAATTAGAGGTTTTTGATGGCGTTGGCCATCAGCTCTTGGCCAGGCTGCGCCGCAGTTGCACTCGCAGTTCAATTGAAGGCTATTAACAAAGTTTGGACTGGCGAACCCATAATTAATGTACAGTTTGTATGTTTCAAAAGTAATATTGCAGCAATCTGCGCAGTTGCACGGGAAGTCGGCAAAGTGAAAACTTGCAGCAATAGCAGTTGCATAAACAAAAAGCCATCAGTGCAAAGCCACATGGTTATGAATGGGAGAAGTTCGCACGAATTGAATTTCAAATTCAAGGAAAACAATATTTGTAGCGAAATTTGATTGGAATGCCAGCAAAAGCGTTTGCCACAAGCTGGATCTTTGCGTGAGTTTCAGCATCATTTTCATTTCGATTTTCTGTGCGGGTGCGGGTGCGGGTGCGTCTGTGTGTGTGTGTGTGCGTGTTTTTCTGTTGCTTTGCTTTTATTTCGTTGCATATTTCATGGGGCTGCGTGGGTTAGCGAAACCCTTTTCAATTTGGCGCTAGTCGGGATTCAGATTGGGATTTAAATATTCAATTTCTAAAATTCCATGGCGCTTGCAACTCGCTTGCCATAATCTAACAGCAGCCCATCTGCTGCTCCTGCTGCTAACCAAACAATTTGTTAGCTGCTTAGTATTAAGATATTTCTTTGGCTGCTTTGCTAAAAACTTTGCACTCTACATTTGGTCTTGTTGCTTTTGTTTTTGTTTTGTTTTTTGCTGCTCCCTGTGAACTTTTTGGCCAGCCAAGTGTCGACGCGCTTAATTGCAAATGATAACAGGCCATGTTGAAAGTTCTCCTCGCTTTTTCCTTGTCTGCTTTTTTAATTTCTTCTCTGCTGACCCAATTTGCAGGTTTTTTCATTATTTTCCTCATTTTTTCGAGCTCGGCTCCAGCGAAAGTGTCGCCAGCCCCGTTTCTCCCATTATCCTGCTGGCTTTTCATTATTTGCTGCTGCTGCTCCTTTTCCCCTTACAGCTTATGCTTGGCTTCGTTTGCCTCGTCTGGCTGCGGAGAGTCTATGACTCCAGAGCTCTTCCTGTTTAGATAAAATGCCAAATACCGGATGATTTTTAATTAGAATTTTTTCCCCCTCATTGTTGTTGTAGTTGTTGCTGTTGCTGTTGCCGTTTTCCTCCCTCTCAGCTCAGTTATTGACTCGAAACAATGCGACCGAGCAGCAAGTCAGTCAGCCAGGCGGTTAGCTCGAAAAGGAGCTCAAGTGAAAAGCAAACAATGCTCGAAATTGTCGTTTGTTTAGACTTTTCCCTTGGCAAATAAGTTTTCATAATATTTTTGCATTTAACCGGCTTAAATCATTTTAATAAACTCTTCCACAGCTCTGGGCAGCCAATGCCGTCTGTCGGCTGTCGGCTCTCGGCTGGTAGCTTTAATAGTTTCGTCCCTTCGGTGGGTCCATTGTGCTTCCTTTTGGCCACCCGTCGAGCTCTGTTGTTTGTTTCATTTGTAATTTAAGACGTCGCGTTCCTTAATTAATTCCGTTTACTTGCGGTTTTCGACATAAATCGTAATACGATACCGAAATGATAATGTCGTGACTCGACGGGGCCAGCCGAGCCAAGTTATTTGTAAGACACGTTGCCTGGGGTGCATACTACAATTAAATCGTTTTTACATTTGGCCACGTCAACGTTTTTTCTTTGTTTTGCTTTTGTTTTGAGTAACAGGAGTTTTATTCAATCAGAAAGTGCGGCCATTAAAGGGCAGAAGTAGATTTTGCATTTTGCAATCGCATTAAAGCTTGCCTTGGCGTAAACTTTTACATTTGATTAACTTGAAGACTTTCAAAAGAAATAAACGTTTTCTTAACTTCGGCAATTCGGTTGAAAGAGAATTCAGGCGAATTAAAACGGCAAACGGACAACATTTGCATTGATGAAATGACAATTGTTATTTGAAAGACACAAAACAGATAAAATGCAAATAAGTTAAGCAGAAACAAAAAAAAAAAAAAACGCCGTCATAGCCAAGTAGAAAAGAAGGCCAACAATAATAATACAACTTGGCCGAAATGGCCATGGGCTAGCCGGCTGCTCTCGGCTTGGGGCTAAGCCATTTCCGGCTATCGACAGGCGAAAGTGAATTGAGGAGTGAAAGGAGAGACACAATAATTTTCATAAATTTTCCAGTTTCTTATGTTTTTTCTTTTTCTTCTACTTCTTCTTCTTCTTCTTCCTTATCTGTTTTGTCTTATTTTCGTTGTTGTTTCAGCGCAATCAGCAAACGAAAAATGCAGTGGTCCGGCCTGATGATGTAATGGGCCAGCGCACATATTTCATTTGAATAACTTCGTAATCACAGACCATGGTCCGTATAGTCCGGGATGCGGACCACCTGGAACCCCAAAACTAAAAAAAAAAAAAAAAATGAAAAAAAAAAAAAAAAAGAAACTCCCCTAAAAAAAAAAAAAACAAAGAAAATGATCGGGGAAAAACAAGAGGGAAAAAAGCGTTGAAATCAAATTGGCTTTGCGCTCAATGGACGATTTGCTTTAGTCGAGCTACGGATTTTTATGGCTAACTTTGTTATGGCAAGGTGGGCGTACAGGCCACGCCCACTGGCAAACTAAGCTGTAGACACCGAAAAGGCATTTGGACATGTTTTTGCTGTTGTTGTTTGCTGCGTTAGCCTTTGGCGTTAAATGTTTGCTGTCAGTCTGTCGTTGTTGTTGTTGTTGTTGTTGCTGTTTCTTGGGCTGGATTTAAAATGTTATTTGCAATTTTGATTTGGCTTCAATTGCGACGCAGCAGAAAAGCCAAGAGAAAACAACAGAGTCGATGTACATATAGAAATGGAGGCTAGCTAGGTTTACTTGTACTTACGGCATGCGGCATTTGGTAGAGTCGGGATGCCGAGCAGTGTGGCAATGCGGCGTGGCAGGCACTCACCTGTAAAGACAAACAAGTTAAGGAAATTGGTTAACAACAATTTGCATAAACTTTAAGCGATTTCCGCGTAAAGCCAACACTCGCACACGTACATATGCTGGTGTGTGTGCACACTTTGATTCTTTTAAGGCAATCAAATCGATTTCAGCTTTCGATTCGCCACGAATTCGATTTGCCATTGGCAATTTGGCTTGACACATTCGCGCCGCGATGTCATAAACTGGCACAAGCTGCGGCAACCCATTCGAAGGGAGACAAAAAGCACTCGGAGCTAGACAATTGTATTGCTGAGTGTGTCTGTGTGTGTGTGTGTGTGTGTGTGTGTGTGTGTGTGTGTGTTGCATGTGGCATGTGGCTGAGAGATAGCCTCGTTCCCAAGTTTACCATGTCGGGGTCAAATAGTTTGCCGACTTTCGTGCGCAAACCAATTGGCATATTGTGCCTATAAATATGCATGGCACACAGTGATTCGCCCCAGCGATAGGCTTTAGCTAATGCCCTACATAGCAGCGGAGCAACTGTAAAGGATCAGGGTAGCTAACCAGTCGAGCAGGCCTTTGAGCCTTGCTTAAGCCTGCTTCAGCTCACATCTTGACTTCTTTGGACATTTCATGTCGACTCTCATTTACAGCAAATGCCAGACATTGACATGATTTCTGAGCGACTTGTTTTGCATTTCGTCTAATTGCCACGTTAATTGAGCACAATTACAGACACCCTGTAAAGGCCGCAACAGCCTTGCATGTCGCTGAGCACATTGGGTTTTACCACTATTTCTTGTGGGTTTCGTGGAAAAACCTTTTAATTGACTATGTTCACAAAATGAATGAATGACTTAAATTCAGTAAATGCGAGAGATACGAGAGATAGAGCAACTCTGTGAGTGAGAGCGAGAGAGAGAGAGAGCGAATTGTCTCAAAGTCATGAGTCGACAATAAATTTTGGTTAATTAGCAAAAACATCGCTTGGGACAAATTAAAAAATCCCCCTCTTTGTGAAAAACAATTTACGGCTAGCTGCCGGCTGGACGCGTGCAGCAGCAGCCAGCAATTTGTCATGCACGCGCAATTAATCAAAAGTTGAATGACTTAACGGTGCAAAGGCTTCAACTTTTGATTAAAGTCTGATTTGGCCGCCTTTGTTTAAATTTCATATCTGCTCACCGTCTCCTTGGCTTTTTTTTGCGCTTCGTTTTAATTGTTATTAAAGACATTTGACGCTGATTGCACTGCGCAAAATTAGTCATCATTAGCAGACTGTTGCATATTCGTGGGCGTCACAGCGTGCGGCTGTCAGACTTGATGGATGAATGGCTGGCTGGCTTGGCCTGGCCAGCTGAATGGCGCGACTAAACGTGCGCTGAGATAATTGACCTTTAAATATACTCTACCCACGCACACACACACACACGCACACAGGATGTACACACACACAGCTGCACGCACAGTTGAAAAGTCGAAACCCATTCAGCCGGCATCCTGCGCCGCAAAGTAGGCTAAAAATATGGCACAGCAGCGACAGCGACAGCGGCAGCAGCAGCAGCAGCGCCAGCCGAGGCAACTACAATGACGATGATGATGATGATGATGTTGATGATGATGGTCCAATAACCTTTTACACGGCTACGGCCTGTGCCTGGGCTCTCCGCACAGCTTGAATGCCATTGACACTGGCCATTTGGAGGCTGCTGATTCGGGTGGTGCGCCGGTAAGAGATACTTATTTGCCATGAGTGGAATACAGGAGGCAGGAGGCAGGAGGCACAGGCAGCAGTCAGCAAGCAGAGCGGAGGAGGTAAGCGCTGAGAGGCAGCTGCGTATAAGGAGTCATTGCTCGAGAGCCTCACGCACTTATTGTTGGCCATTCCCCCCTGGCCGGCTTCTACGAACAGCTTTTGGCCACATTTTGTTTTTCTTTTGCCTTACTGTAGTAGTTGTTGTTGTTGTTGCCATTGTCGTGGGGATTTTATGGCTCTGAGGCAGGCAAGAGCTGCGTTGGCGTCGTCGTCGTCGTCGTCGTCGTCGTCGTCGTCGTCTGTGTTTTTGGCAGCCAAAGTCGCGTCGCAGCGCAGCGCATCGCATCGTATCGCATCGTGTGCGTGCGAATGCCCCGTTTCAAGGATATTTTGCGCTTTGGACTTGTTTGGCTGCCTTTTGGCATTTTATTGTGTCGTTGGCACGCATCGAGCGCAAAAAGTTAAATGTTTAATCATAAAGAATAGAGAGAGAGAGAGAGAGAGAGAGAGAGAGAGAGAGAGAGAGAGAGGTAAAAGGAGACAGATACCGAAACGACGACTAGGTGGATAGACATTAGCCAGGCACTGTAATGTCTCCCAATTGGAAAGGATTGCCGCAGATCAAAAAAGTTTTGCGCTTCAAGCACTGCTTAATTGAATAACATTAGGAAATGGGATTGGATTAAAGCTTTGGATTAAAGATGAGTTAAAGCTTTCACATTTTAGCCGCTGTCTAGAGCAAGAGAGCGCAAAGCCAATATCTTTTAATTCATTTAAACATAGTGCCTTTTTAGCGCCCTAGTTTCCTTTTTTATGGCTCATTCGCTTATCTGGCCAACACTAATTGCCGCTTAGCCATAAAAATGGCAGCCTGGGTGAAAAGTTTTTGCTTCTACACTTTTCGGCTGCTGGAAAAGCGTGTGGCAGTAAATTTCATTAGGGCATTTCGCTCGCTCGCTCGCACACAGCGCCCTTTCTCCCTCTCCCTCTCCCTCTCGCTCTCTGCTGTTGCCAGCCTCTTGACTGTGCCAATGTTGTGGCCATTGGGCCAGGGCTCTGGGGTAGCATTCGCCGAGTTCGCATCCCGAGTTGAATAAACTCAATAAGTTCGCTTTTTTATAATATTTATGTCTATGTGTGTGCTGGTGTGTGTGTGTGTCTGTGTGTGTCTGTTCGTGTTGTTTGATGTTTGTATTTAGGTATGTAAAATTGTCAAATACGTCTAGACTGCGAAGGTCATTGTGGCTAACGGCTTAGGGCATTCAATTGTGCACGGCTTAGCGCTCACATAATACGAATCGCAATATCCGAGCTGCAGTCTATAAGAAATTTCTTTAGTTCTGCCTTAATGCAATGCAATGCGTCATTTGCTTTGTTAATTGACATTTGATTCCGATTTTAATTCTGATTACGGCTTTGATTTGTATATTTGATTGAAGCGACTTCGCATACGCTCCGAAAACGTGACTAAGCAACGAGCTGTGACTGATCTTTGCTCAGCGAATCTGAAAGCTGGAGTCAAAGTCTCTTCTCTTTCGATATGCGATTGCTCATAGAGACGAAGCGCTCTTCAGCCATGTTGCACATTGATCGCTCTTGTTATTGTTGTTGTTGTTGTTGCATTTTGGTTTCAATTGCGGCGATTTTCGCTCACTTACTCACTCGGAGCGCTCTCTCTCTCTCTCCCTCTCTCTCTCTCGCTGTTGCGAATCCATTTCCTCGGCTGTCAGTGCATTGACTTTTGACAACAATAACAACAACAACCGCAATTCGCAACAGTTGATATGCTTTTTTAATGAAACTAAATTTAATTAACATATTAGCGCACTTAACTACAATAAAATGCAATCTGCAATTTGCCGTCGAGTTCATTGAACTCGGAAATATTTGTAAGTCGTGTTGAGCGGTTCAAAATTTCAGTGTTTGTCTTATCAGTCAGCACGCGCCTCTATCTCAAGGCCGGCCACTAATACCAGTGCAGTGCCAAATATCAATCTATAATCTGTTCTATACATATACATATATAGACTATGTGTTTGTATGTATTTATATTTATTTTTTAACACTTAACTGACGAGTCGCAGTCGCAGTCGCAGTCGCAGTCGCATTCGCACGACCTTGATGACAATGAACTCACTTGCAGTCTCACAACAGGGCATGACTACATACATATATAACCCGTATATACATATATACATGCATGTGTGTATAGAAATATCGTTTTGTCAAGTGCGCGTTTTGCTTTTGAAATGTGGCTGTACGGCTATAAAATAAAAACATCTATTTTACGGCATATCGCTGCGATAAGATAGCCGCACACATTCAATTTGCATCATAAAACGTAAAAAAACTGAGCGAGCAAAGTATAAAGAAACTGTTTACAGTTTTACCGTTTTACCGTTGACAGTGTTTACTGTTTACCAACTTCAGTTGACGGTTGCTGTTGCTGTTGTTGCTGCCAACAAGTCTGGTTATGCACCCCTTTGTCTTAGGGCTCCAACACCACCGATAGATATGACGACGCCTGCTTAATGACATGGCTTATGGCCTCAAAGTTCCTTCAACTAATTATATACATTTGATTCAATAAAACGCAGTATCGAAAGTGTGTGTCAATATCTGATAATGAAGTCCATTGGCTGACGATCTTTCTCTTCAATTTCGCAAACAGCTTTCACACGCATGAGTCACACACAGACGCAAAAGCTTTTGTTTGCTGCGCAGTGCCTTGGGCTGGAGTTGGGAAAGCTCACCAATACAGGCGCATGAAATGTTTCTAATATGTTATTAAAACAACAAATACAAACTTGTGGCAATGCGAATGCACAAAAATAATAAATAGTCGGAACGAGTCGCGCTTGGCGTATGGATAAATTGGCTCAACATTGCTTTGTGTCATGCCATTAAAATTTGAAAAGCCGTATCGAGCGATGTCGGTTAATAACAGCCTACAAATTGCAGCAGATGACAGCAGCGGGTAGCAGGGGCGGGGGTGCTGGGAGGGGGGGCATTCAGCTTGGCTTGGCTTGACTTGGTAGGGCGATTGCTGTTTGAAATGATTGCAGCGATGGGGAATATATAAATATCATGTAGGCGACTCGGCGCACTGGCACCTGGCTCCTATTACATGTGCACGGCATTATTACAACGCCAGCACAGCACACAAACACAAACGCAAATACAAACACTAGCAACACTGGCAACACAGCAACAATTGCAAATAAGAGCTAATATTAAAAGCGGCAATTTTCCATGGCACCGACAGC